CTAGAAATTGGAGCTGAGAATGTGACAAGTTGGAAGACACTTGAGTGATTTCTCTCTCTCTCTTTCCCCTGCCTCCCCCCACCCTTCTCCATTCAAAATCTTGCCCTAAGTAGCTCCCATTTCTGTGGTTCAAGGAAGGAGTCTTTCTTTGACTAATATATGGGGCTTCTCTCTCAGAGTAAGTAGTGAAAACTCTAGTACCACTTTTCAGTCTACCATCAGCAGACAGTTTCATGCCTGCTTCTAATAAAATCTCTGCAGGAGTCCACTTCTGGATTTGAATAATTGCTAGAAAGCTGTTGTTCTGGTGTAGGAGGATGGATGTAGTTCCTGCAGGGAACAGAGAGGCGGTTATGTCTTGTCATTTGATTGTGTACAAGAAGCAGCGTGTTTAACATGATGAGGAGTATGTGAAATAATGTGGATTTTGATGCCTTAGCCTCCTTTGAAGCTGTGTGCTACATGCTGTCCTGTTACAGTCTGGTGAGGGATGCACATTTCAAAGCCATATTCTGCTTAGCTGATTGAGTGTTTTGGATGACATTGCATTTCTAGGGAATGAAATTAAGGGAAGATAGGCACAACGCTGGCCCTCTTCCAGTCCTCTGGGATTTCTCCAGAGGCCCATGATTTTTGATAGACCTTTGCCAGGGGCTCTGCGATTACTTTAGCCAACCCTTGTAGCACTCTTGGGTGGAATTCATCCAGTCCTGCTGATTTATATACATCTAATTTCTTTATTTGATCGTACACCAGTTCTATGGCAATGGTGGGAATGGTGTCAATCCTGCCTTGCTTGTTCTGTGCCCTACCTGGTGTGTTGTTCCCCTTGGTCTTGTGAAAGACGGAGGCAAAGTAGTCGTTTAGGAGTTCTGTTTTTTCCTGAGTGGCAGTGACCAGGTAACCTGAGGCATTGAGCAGCGGCCCCACACTCCTATTAGTTTTCCTTTTACTTCCCATGTAGCTAAAGAAGGACTTCTTGTTGTCCTTGATTCTTGTAGCTAGTTTTAGTTCAGTTTCTGCCTTAGTTTCTTTGATCAGAACTGAGGTAAAGTACTTGACTCGGTTTGATTTTTTTCTGTCCATTTTTGTGATGCTTTTTGATAAATTCTTGGGGTGACATCTTAGCCCTGCTACAGGCAGTAAAAGATCTCCCTTTTAATTAAGGGGAGGCAGGATTTCACTCCTGACCTTGAATGCTAGCAAGTCAAGGCAGAACTCTTAAGTGACCTACTATTTAATAAACCAGACTTGTCACTCTTCACTTCCAGATCATGCAGTGCAAGTTACTATTTTTTAAATGAAGTGCTTGTGTCATTTTCTGAACAACGAGCTAGGTTTGATTAACCAGTGGTCCTTCAACATTCTGGTCTGTGATCAACAAAATAGCCAAAATGTCTACACTTGACCAGCCCTACTGATATATTAATTGGAGTATGCTAAAAATAGCTATAGAGTTGAACCTGTTATGGATATATAAAAGTTGGCTAGAAAAGAACGTGTCAAAATGTTTCTCTGCTTTTCATTAAAATATCCTGCTAATTTTTTTTCACCCAAATTGTTTAGCTGTGTGTGGATGTAAAACATTCCACAACTTCATTCCATGGACTGAGAAACGTAACCCTGGCTTTTTTCCTCATGTGCCAAAGGGCCAAAGTTTTTGGCCTCTGCCCATCTGTCTTGAGAGGAAACATGGGTATCTCTTCTGATACAGAAAAGTAAATGCCAATATTTGTAGAAAACTCCTGGTGCTATTCAAGTGATTATATTTAGCATCTCTCCTAAGTCTTGCTCAGACTTACATATCTAAAATAGCTAATTATTATAAAAGCCTGTCTTCAATACACATACAGTCCTTATTTAGTTCGGTGGTGGGAGTTGTACATATTTATACCTGGGGTGAATTTAGAATTGAAACCAAGCATACAGAGGAAACCAGGTCCAATGTGGTTTTATTCATAAATTCAATATGCACTTTGGGGCCACTTTGTCTAAAAAAAATCCTCAGCATGCTGAGATTTTGGAAATCTGGCCACTTCTGTCCACATCCAAATGGGAGCTGAGCTCTGAGAAAATTTAACCATAAAAAAGGTAAAAAATGGCTCATTTGTTTTTGGTAACACTGTAGATTTACAGGAAGCATAGTCTTAATATGCTTGATATATTTCCCTCAGTATTGTTCCCTGCTATGTGTGTGTGTGATTTAATTAGTCTATAAGGTGCAAATCTACATTGCCTTTTGAAAGATATTCCCATAAAAACTTTGATATGTCAACGTTTGGTGGCCTCGTTTTGTGCATGTTGGAATTGTTCTGAAGGGAGCTTATACCTTTTTTATTGAATCTCTCTATCTTGGGTCAAATCTCCTGTCTCTAAAGACAGACTTAGTGAGATTCCTGAGATATTTGGGGATAAATAACTACAAGGGAAGGTGCTGGCAAAGTGCAGGTGTTGTACAAGAAAGGGTTGTGCAGTAGCTGTTGGCATAGCACTTCTAGCCAGAGGCTTCTCTTTACAAAGGGAATTGGTTAATACAACCTGTGAATTTTGTTGCATTGAAAATGGCAAAATAGCTACAAAAGACTCAGGAAGATCACATTAATAGATGTTCAGTTCCCTCCAAATACCCTTGTGCTTGATGCTGGTTTGCTCCCAGCTGGAGTAAGCATGGAGTGCAGTCGTGAGGGTTTTGCCATGGAATGATCAGCAGTCAAAATTGTATTTACCACCAGAGACCTCATCAAGTGTACCAGGCCAATACAAGAGCTTTGTCTCACTGGCTGCATTCAGGGAGAACAATTCTATTGACATCCCTTTAATAGAGATTTAACCGTGAATATCCCTTGGTGGCAGATTGACTGATTTCTAGTTAGATCTGAAAACACAAAAGTGAAGCTGCCTAGAATTAAGTACATTTCTGACAATATTTCTACACCTTAAGCAGTTTTATTTATTATAAAGGGTTTTTTCTTTGGGATTTCCAGCTGGATAGCAAAAGAAAGAGATTAAGTTTGATTATTTTTCTGCTAAACCAATGATTTCCCCATATTAAGAGCCTGATTTATAAACAGTTGTTAAAGCAAAAAGCCTGCTATTAGCTGGAGCAATAGCAGCAGAGAAAATTTAGATTGGAGGTGAGAAGGAGGGACCTAATAGCCCTTTCCAGCCCCCTGTTGACTGCCTATGTTGTGATGATGTTGAATCAGCACCGTATTAAAAGCAGCTGCTATTTGTCTGTCTATCAGGGCTCTGCTCCTAGACTGACTGTCATTAACTGTGGGATTAAAGAGCCCGGTCTACCCTATCGTGCAGTAGAATTCAATTCCACAACTTCTTAGAGGCATTTCCCATTCCAGGGATAAGACTAGAAGGTGTTCTTCTGCATGAAACCATTTCCGCCCAGCAGCTCCTACAACCAAGCTGGTTCCATACATATTGGAACCTACCTTTCCTTTGGATTAAACCAGCAAGTTTGAGAGGGGAACATTCAGAGACGATCCAAGCAGGGTGCAGGGCCCTGGACAAATCATCCTATATGGGGCCCCACCCCCAGATGCGAGGAAGCCAGTGGCAGATTCAGCAGGGGTGGGGGGGGAATGCCAAGCGGTCAGATGTGAAGCCAGCAGCAATGTGGAGTCAAAGCACAAGGCCTGGGGCAGTCACCTCGATTCGCAACCCCCCCCCCCCCCGCGCGTCCGCCCCCACCCCCCCCCCCCCCCCCCCAGGAGCAGCCCAAGGACATTGGTGTGCAGGCAGCTCACTTTCTCCATATACACTGCCCAAACTTTCACAACATGGAGAGGTCATTCCAGCTTTGCTTTATCTTTCAAGCAAGAATTACATCAGCGAATTGATGTCTCACTTGGCATAATTCTATTGTCTCATGAGACCAACAGGGACCTACCACTAGAGGAACAAACCCCACTTCATTGCTAGTCCAGGAAAAAATAAATCCTTCTCGCTCTTTGTTCCTTTGAAGACTCGTTGTGCTTTTGAATAGGTAAAAAGAAAAATTCTTAAAACCAGATTGATTTAATCCATGTAAAAGTACATATGACCAATAATAATGGAAAAGAATATACCACAATTTATTTTTCCTGGTAGAACAAAAATCAGTTGATGTATTGAGTTGGGGAATGGATACTAAGGCTGTGTGAAGCTTTTGTCCCTGATTTGATTCAGCGGAGATTTGGCCCGATTCAATGGCTGAATCTCCATATCCAAATTGAATCAGAGGACCCTTTAATCGCTTTGAATTGAATCAGAACCTTCCAAATTAATTCAGAGAGATTCAGAGATTTGGACATAGACACAGCTTTAAATGTTTTTTCTGCATACCTCTAGGTAGCAAGGGCTTGTGAGTGCTGCAATACTGGGGTGCATGGAGTGCCCCACAGAAGCGTGGGGGGCTCCCCAGCGCGCTCGGCAGCAGACCCAGAAGTGGACAGAACTACTTCTGATCCACTTCTGGGTCCACTGGGGAGTGTGCCAGGAGGCCCTCCATGCCCCAGTGGCTCAGTGACTGGTGCCTCCTGGGTCTGGGGAGGCACCTGAGGTCTCCCCATGGCCGATTGCCAAGCCAGGGTGTCCCAGGAAGATAAGCACCGGGAGAAGGGGGACCTCCCCCCCATAGCGGGCCAGGGTACAGGACAGCCCTCCCCACCATAAAAATCCCCGAGGCCAGGGCAAACTGACCT